CTACAGGGAATACCATGGCTTTGACTAGGCGGATCTTTGTTGCCAGTGTGATGTCTCTACTCTTTGTAGAGTAGATTTTATCGAGATTGGACATTGCTCTCCTCCCAAGAAGTAAGATATGATAGCCATGTATAAATATGTGAGAGGAAGCCACAGGGAGGAGGGAGCAAGCTTGTTTTCTGCTTCCCTGGAGACTAGGACGCGAAACAATGGCTTCAAACTACAAGAAAGGAGATTCCATCTGAACATGAGGAAGAACTTCCTGACTGTGAGAGCCATTCAGCAGTGGAACTCTCTGCTCTGGAGTGTGGTAGAGGCTCCTTCTTTGGAAACTTTTAAACAGAGGCTGGATGGCCATCTGTCAGGGGTGATTTGAATGCAATATTCCTGCTTCTTGGCAGGGGGTTGGACTGGATGGTCCATGAGGTCTCTTCCAACTCTTTGATTCTATGTTCATCTCCGGAGAGCTATCCAAGGTGCTGAACCTAACCCATAAATGCTTCAGCCTGTTGGATAGCTGCTTTCAAGCCTGGAATAGAACTCACAGTACATGTCATGGAAGTCCCCAACCAGTCCTGGTTCATGGCCTTCTCCAGTCTCCTTTAGGGAGGTAGACTTCACACAACCCCTTTGATATAAATTTCCCAGTCACTTTTTCCCCTGTGCTCCATTGCTTCCATCTTGACCTCCTTCCTAACACCTGTCTAGGAATAGGAGAGTGCCCAAAGACAGGCAGTATAGTCTGTCATATATTTATAATGCTTCTTTATCCAACTATCTCAAAAAAACCTTACTTCTATTGAACAGGCTGTCAGTTCTGAGGAACATTAGGGGTTTGTGGGGTTTTCAGGGACAGGATAGAGGGAAAGATTGGAATGGCTCGCAACATAGCCAGAAAAATCCATTATAGTTTCTATTATATATTTCTTCCTTACCTTCACAAAACAGAATGCCTTCTAGAGCACAAAAGAATGCTAATAAAAGGTTGAAAAGTAGACCAGATTCTCAGATGGCACTCAAGGTATTGGGGTCTTCCCTGCATTTGAATTCTTCCTGGAAAGACAGACCAAGGGGGCAAGTCAAGATTTTCCAGACGCTGCGAATCTCATTTATGAAGCCTCTCCTAATGTCAGGTAATTTTTCCTCCTGACAATATGGAAGAATTGCAGGGTCTTGTAAGCATTTGGAGACTGCTTATTGAGAACCAGTTTGAGATAATGCTTTCCTGTTTGGATTAATGTAAATGTGTGTTATTTGCAGAAAAGACTATTGGATTTTGATATATTTTTTTAATATAAACAGCTCACAACTCTGCAAATATTAATGTCTTTACTGAGTGGATTGTGAAATTTATCTTGTAATTTGTCATCAGGCTCTTGTTGTCTTTTTGACTTCACTTGCTTTCCATAAATTCTAACTTTTATCTCTTAATAGAAAGATCATTCTGGTGCCAACATTTGGAAGCGGCTTTTGTGGAGCCCTTCAGTTAAAATATTAGGAATTTCAAAATACTTTAATTAATTTTTTTAAGGAAATGAATTCTCACTTTCGGTGTAACAGAGATAAATCTGAAATGAATAATCAATACTGTCCTAATCCTTGGGCAGACCTCATATTTGATGGGATGAACCAATGGTTAAGCTATTCAGCCAGAAATGGAAGAGAAAAACACAGGATTGTATATTTTGGAAAAAAGGTAGACTTGCATGAAACCCAAACAGGTGGATCAGCAACAAATTGGATAATATAGGATAGGATACTAATCCTTAGGTAAACTGTTCTGAGTTTCCTAGACTTACTTATTAGTGCAAAA